GAGACGTTTCTTTACCTCGAGGGTAATTTTTAAACGGCGACGGCTGATACTTCGGCTCGATGTGAATTCCACTGGCGCTGTAAAATTCCGGCGAGCCATCCAGGTTGAAAGGATGCGGCGGCTGGTGATCCTGCGGCAGGCTGTGATACTCGGAGGTCTCGTCGTATCCGGAATAGTGGGCCGGGGTCATGTAGCTCTCCGTGGCCGATTGGCTAACCCTCAGGTCACTCTCGTTCGTTCCTGTACCAGCGAGATCGTTGCCGCTCGTCAACCCTGCTCCACCACCTTGAAGATGCTCCGTTATATGGTGATTGCTGTAGTTCGCTGCAAACGAAGATTGATGACAAGTTAAACTCAAGCCAAACTATTCTTCGAGGAATCTACGTACAATCGAGTCTGATATATTTACTCTGACTGGGTGACTTACACTCTGTTTTCAGCTGGTTCAAGTTCCGCAGGTGTATATACGCGTTGTTCGCGTTATTGTTATTGTTGTTGTTGTTGTTGCTGTTCGGGGTGCTGGAATGAGAATTGGGCGCTTGGGTGTTATGGCTGTGCGGCGGCGGCGAGGTTTCATCCCTCTGATTCTCGTCTTGGCATACGGGACTGCGCAGATGATTGTAACCGCCTGGAAAAAGCATCCCAAAGGGTCAAGCCTGTCAGTCCCTGGGGACCGACGCGCCGATATTCGTTCCGGTCGGCGTCGGTCCCGCGGGACCGACGCCTGCAATATCCGCCTTGTCCGGTGTCGGATAATTCGGTGGACGCTTTATCGAGTCTGAGAAATACGCTCGATTTTTATTAATGTAAAAAAATACACGTTCGGCTGCGTTCCGAGCGTGTGTTAATTGAGTTCGTTCCGCGTAATTTCATTCAAGGAGAGACAATCTATGAAACTAACGATTGAAGAAGAGGGATGCTCATTGACCAGGCTCGAGCCTGGATCTGATTACAAGGTATCAGATTACAACGGAGCGCTGGAGATTTTTAAGCGAACGATACACACGGGTGGATTTTAAACGGATCCGGTGGCCATCGGCGGCCGACAGTTTAAAGGTACACGCATAAACTTCAATGCTCCGTTTTCGTTCCCTACATCGAAATTTCCTTCATCCGCTGAAAGGACCGGACCGACGACTCAATGAGATTCGCCCATTCGGTTTCCATATTTCCAACCGTTCGGAGAGTTTCGACTCTCTCGCCGTGATGGAACGTGGCCGACGCGCAGAATTTCCACAGGCGAGAGGATCGCGAGTGGGAAAATCGGTGGAAAATCGGAACTCGGGTATCACGAAGTGACAGAGTCTGCAGGGAGTAACTGCTGACACGTGGGCGGCGCGCATCTCGACGATTGGCCGGAGCCAACTCCGCCTATCCTCGACTTCCTTTACTCTCGGCCACGAGAACACTCGTCGAGCGTGCGTCCATTACGGAGGCTGCGGACTCGCTTCGTCGTCCTCGTTCGATCGGCCACGAAAATCTCCGTCCGATCGTTCCGATCCACCGAGATCTTAGCCACAGACTAACTCGTCACTGACATCGAAATTCAAAGGAAGTGCTCGCGATCTTTGCAATTTGTAGCAAAGATCTTCCCTGCGTGACACTGCTGAAGAGGTTGCTTTATCGTTACAGAGTTCTTCCTCATATTACTCTTGTTTCATCAAAAGTACTTAACTAATTAAACGATTCGAAACATCCGACAATACGGCTTAATTTGAGTCAGTGATAAGGGAGGGTCAAAAAAACCGGTATCTGGCTTTTCATTCACCGATTTCATACCTCGATCTCACGAGCAATTATCTGAAATCGTTTCTGAAAAAGTTGCTCATCTCAGAGGATCTCGACTCTCGAAATACATCGAAAATTATTTCTAAACGTTGCGATTATCGGTAGTTTATTCATTTTTCTCACCTGCTATCTGTTAATCAAGCTCGTAACACGGGACTTTAATTAAATGATTTTCTTCACTGAAGAGCTCTGCTCACGCTTCACAAGCATGAAAAAAATCGCTAATTATTGCGGAGCAGCCCGGAGTAGCGAGGAGGAGACTCGCGATTCCACGGCATCCCCC